TGCTACACCAATGCTCAGCCAGAAGTTTTCGGAACAGACATCATTCCGATGGTATGTCACAACCGCCATATTGATCTCGAGAAGACCGTCAAGAACATTGAGCAGGTTTGCAAATACTTCAACATGGATCCATCCAAGGCAAAACAGATCACCGACCTCATCCTCTGGCGAATCGAGCGATTGAGCAGATTGTTTCCGGGTGTTTCCGACATGATTCCACGCTAGGCCAACACAGAGAATGCAAACGACAAGTGGACATGGGTCTTGATGGATCCGTTGAGCTCCTCGCCAGGACTTCTTTTGATGGCTATGCTCCCGAACCATGGGAAGGCACGTTTCGAGATTGCGTTCGTGTATCCATCCGTGGACGGGTCATACCATGAGCGCAAGGCACGGGGAGAAATCGTTCCAAGGAATCGATGGATCGACAACCTCAACTCCAGATCCGCATACGATGCACTCCGGCCTAATGGCAAGGAATTCCTCAATGATTCCGACATGGAGTTCCACGTGAGATGCAACAGCGGTCATACACGACAAGTCGATCTCCAATCTTTTGGACGACCCCTGTACTCCGAGCAGAAGAGTGAGCCTCGCCAAGAGGAACCGGACTATGATCTCCCAACGGAATCCATTCCTCCAAGTCCGCATCCGTCAAGATCCGACGCGCCCCATGAAGACGAAGGCACAGCTCAGGCAAAGTCCAGAATGCGAAGGCCGGCGCCTCAATCCATTGAAGAAGAGAGAAAGATCAAGCCGTTCGCGAAGAAGCCCATTACGTTCATGTCCCATGCTACATATGGAGAGAATCTGATCAACATCATGGAGCACGGGCTGAAATCTGGGAGATCCCAGTCAAACCCTTCGGGGAGAGTGCACATCCACATGGCATGCATCGACGACGTTTTCCTTGATGACGAAGCGTCAGAAGCAGCATTGACACATGTGCCAACAGGAAGAGATGCATTGTTGATCCTGGCAGTGGACTACGACATCCGACTCTCCGAAGAGCGAACAGCATTGACAGAGCAAACCATCTTGGCGAGGAACATTGTTACAGCATAATGAGTAACAGTTGGATCATGAAGAAAAATCTCGGTCGTGAAGACATTGAGATGTACAACAGCAAGATCCAAGAGTTCGCCGATGCCTTCTTCAAACATGTGAAAAATGACCACCAAAACAAGGAAAAGTCCGAAAAAGATACATCCACAGAGACCAAGAAGCGACGGCACTCCACCGATCAGGACAAGGTTGAAGAGGAGAACATGGAACCTTCCGGGGAGAGATCCGTCAAGCCAAAGGTCACCATGGAGTATCCCAATCCTGAGAACCTAGACGAGTTCATCCAGGAACTCAAGGAAATCTACCTCAAAATAGAAATTAGCAAGAAGGACGCCGAGGAAGAGCTCGTGGAGACCAAAAGGAACTTCATCCGTTTCATGGAGAAGTACAACAAGGATCCAAAGACAGCTCATCCTAAATTGACAGAATGCGAGAGAGCCTCATTGGCGCACGTCGATCCCGATGTCAACCTCGAAGAAGAAGACTTCTTTTTCCGCCATCGAGGAGAATGTCCCACCATGGACGAGTGCCGGAAGGCACAGCCAGTATCAGGATACCCGATTAAGCTTCCACTTGGATTGAAGAAGCTTGGATCACATGACAACCCAGAAGTCATTCGAGCATTTGCCGACATCCTGGGATCGCTGATGCGGCCAACCGACCGTTCCCCTGTGGACCATCTCAAGACGCATGAGTTCATCCCATCCCTGACGATCAACATGCTTACTATGAACCATGGAAACCTCACGAGGAATCCAAAGGCAGGGAGGTGTACAACATGGCGATGAAGCATCGACCAATCGTGAAGATGATGATGCAGAACAGCGCGCACATCTTATGCCTCAATGAAGCAGACGCATTCCTCAGTCCTCAAGATGATAAATCCAGAGAACTCATCAAGACGTTCATCCGATTCGGGTACAAGGGTATCATACTCAAGCAATGGTCATCCAGACCAATTGCATGCTTTGTCCGCGGCGGACCTTCCGCAAGAGTGGAACTATTGGCAAGACACATTTCCACAAAGAGTCAGAATTGGGGAACCACATTCAGGATGTTCAGATGTTTCTTCGGAACCGAGGAAAATTGCACTGATCCTGAATACGACATTCCGACCTCGGATTGCTTGACAACTACGGGACCATCCATGTTTACTGAATCCAAGAAGTACATTGGACCGAGATTGCCACCACGCACCACTGTCCAAGGACCCGGACGTAACAAAGAGATTGTCGTTCTCCACATCGAGCAGAGTGATGAGTATCGCGGTATGCTCCCCAAACCCTCTAAGATTGAAAAAACCAAGCGCACCATGAAAAGCATTTGAATTTCAGGCGTGCCATGAAAATTCTTGAGTTTCAATATTGAGAGATTGGTTTTATCAAAAATCAATATTAGGTCTTGCCCATAATTTTCAAGAGTGGCTCTCATGAAATTTCAAGCGCAAGCTGTCTCCAAAAACAAACATTAGTTGGTCATGAAATGGCATCTTGCAGCCAAATGGAATCTTGATCCCACCATCCTCCCCAGCAGATCTCCTCCAAAAGGCCAGCCCAGTCAAGCAACATGGCATGTCTCAGCCAATCCAATTACCATGGAACTCCGTTTGATCTGGAACATCTGTGCTTCAATTTGTGGCTACGAAGCAAGAAAACAAAGCACAGGACACACCTGCACATGCACACACAGTCAAGCAGCTGCAACTAATTTTCACCCTAGCCTGGTCCATTTCAAATGCATTGCCACCCTGTACTTCTCCAGCATTTTTGCAGAAACGTCATGATTAGCTGTGCCTCTGACACAGCTGTGGCACAGGCTGCTGGCTCTACCAACAAGGTCTTCACCACCATAGCACCAAAAAAACCTGGGGTTGATACCCCAGAAGCCTTCAGTCAAATGATAATGGTAATGGAATTTGGGAACAACTGACCACATCTTGGTCTTGTTCCGAATTGCTGCCTTGGACAGCCAATTGTAATGCAGCAGGAATTTGTCACTAGCTTCCACCATTTGTCGATGGGGAGCCTCAGGAATCACAAGTCCAGAGCTATGCATGATGTCATACAGCTTGGACAAATTGCAAATCATAGCCAGCATGTGCTGGCTTTTCTCATCAGCTGCATCATGGTGCTCCCTGGCCAGGTCTGCACAAATGGGCACAAGGGCTCTCACATTGGCAGCTTTCAGAAACCTCATCTCAGGATACTCCTTGTGGGGCTTTTTCGGGTGGCAAAAATTCTTGAGCTCCAAGGAGGTCAGCCTGCTTCCATGGGCAGGCTGCACACTTAGTATGTACTCAGCCAGCAAGGCCACAGCACTGGCTCTCTGCATGTGCTTCAGCTTGGAGTACACCAAATAAAACAGCACATTTGCACAAGCATGTGAAGCCACACCCAAATCATTGACATGAAGCCCGTCTAGCAAGTAAGACCTTCTGCTCCAACCTATGACCTTGCAAAGGGGGTGATCTGGCAATGGTGTGGAGGCAGGCTTCTTCTTCCAACTGCTTGCAGGCCTGAAGTCAAACCAGTTGTCAGCCGCTGTTTTTCCACCTGGGCACAAATGGCAGGGCGTATCACTGGCCCAATGTGACAAGCCCAGCTCATTCTGTAGGTAATCCATATCGCCCTGCACACCGAGCAGACAGAAAAAAGTGCCATCTGCAAAAATTGTCTTCCCAGCCCTCTCAGCAAGCTCTCCATCCAATGGGTTGCCAAATGGGTCCAATGCAGGGAACTGATTGTGGTACAAGCCATTGAAGTCCCACACCAGCCATTCCCAAATTTCTGACCAAGTGCCACACTGGCCTTTGATGGAAGAATTCTTTGGCCAGCTTGCAAGTATCAAGTTGGTGTCAGAAATGCTGCCTTGCTTCAACAAGCCTGACATGGACACTGTGAGCAGGCTATCTTTGTCTTGAAACCTTGCACCATCTCCATGGACCAGCAATGGGATCCCTTGAGCGCCCTTCTTTTTTGCAGGATGGTCAAACTTTGAACCAACCAGATCCCAAAATGCCAAACGCTAGCTCCAGCTCCTCATGCAAGTGGCCATGGCTGGCCATAGCCAGAAGCCAATCTGAAGGCAACACCACTTTGCATGCCATTTCAATGGCAACTTTTCCTCCCTTCACATCCTTCCCAGGGACTGTGAGAAGCCTGCCAGCTGGTGCCACCAAGTCCTTGACAAAATGTGCTGTCAAATCCCGGTGAATGCTGCCAGTGTTGTTGCCATAGGCCCCCGACGCTGCAATCTCTGAAATTTCAGGGTGTTGCAAGCCATCACACAGAGCTGCGTGGGCAAGTTCTTGCACATCAGGCGCAGACAAGACTCCCCAAGCCCATTTGTTGAGCAAGCAGGTGGCAAATGCAGATTGCTCATGGGAGTTGGACAACAGGACCTTCTGCTTCTTTCTTGCTGGCCCCAAGGCATCTTCAGCGTCATGTTGTGCTCTTTGCAAATGCCCCACCATGGTTGGGACTGAAGGCTAGCTAGCGGCCACAAAAATGTCAGCTACAACAAAGCAATTGTTATTGCCAGACTTGGGTTGGGGAACTTCTTTGCAATTGCTTGAGACTTGCAAAGTCTTTCCTGCTGAGCCATTGCCAAGCACACATGTGCACCAACAAACTGAAATGCTCACTTGCTGCAAGCTTGGCCCCAAGCTTCAAACCTACACCAATTCAAAATCAGCTGTGCCTCCTATACTTGATGGGCATGAACCATGACACATATTCAGGAATGAGCCTGCGTGCAGCACATAGTATTTATCGCAGGCAAAGCATTGCGTCTATAGGTCGATCTCTGTGGCCCACCAAGCTGTAGCTTCTGGAAATCAGGAGAAAGAATGGGCCCTTCCTAAAGAATAGTAAATGCAAAACAGGTGGGTGCACCATCAACAGATTTGGCCTCAGCACGGTGGGCTCTTGACACATTCACTTGCCCAGCTGTTTCAGCAAAGATGCATGAGATGCAATGGGCCCTTTCATCTCCTCCTGGATGGTGTTCAAAAACTTCAAGGTCTCCTCCTTCTTCCCAAAGTCCTTTTTGAGATACAGGTCCTTGAGGGAGGTTTGCCACTGAACCAGTTTGTTCTGCATCTGGCTGGTGGTGGCTTTGATGCCTTTCCCATAACCAGAATTTCCCTTGAGCTCCCTGGCCAACTCCTCAACCTGGAGGCTCTTGTTGGAACAGGCTGTCATGGCAGATGACACTGTCTTCCACAGCTTGTCAGCTGTCATTGCGCCTTCATGCTTCTTGCCTGGATTTTCAGGCCTTGGCGGCTGGCTGCTGCTGGTCATGTCATTCAAAAAGGACCTGCCTCCCTCTTGGAAAGGGTCTACTGAAAGGAAAGCTTGGTCAAGCTTGCTCAAGTCATCCTCAGTCTCAACTTCCCTCTTCTGGTTTTTTTTGAACTCCTTGTTCTTTACAAAGGTCTTCTCTTTCTTCCAATTGCTCTTGTCAATGTACATCTTCACATTGCTGGTCTTGCTATGCGCCACTTCAATGATGCCACCATCCTCCAAGAGCTGTTGGATTTCCTCATCCTCATACTTTTGCTGCAGCTCCTTCCAGCTGACAGGCTTCTCTGTTTCTTTGAAGCTTTTAGAGCTTGAGATGGACTGGGTTTTCTGCATGAAGTGTGAGCCCCATGACTTGTCCAAAAGCCATGCCCTGACCACTGCACCTTTTTGTGCATGCTTTTGCCCTGCTGGGGCCTGACTTGCTGTCTCCCACTGCTCCTTTGCCTCTGAAGGGGCCGACTTCAAGGCATGCAGGAACTTGCTGCTCAGCTGCTTCTGCTCAGAGGTTTCCAACTCCAACTCTGCATCTGGATTTTCCCCATGCACCCTGTCCTTCCACAATTGGATCTTCTCTTGCAAGGAAATTGTGGCCACCTCATCCCTCACAGAAGCAGCTGGCTTTTTGAGCACGGCAGGCTTTTTGATGACATTCTTGGGCATGCTGGCCAAGTGAAAAGCTTCGAACAGTCCAGTTGAGCCACTAATGAGCTCCAAATCAGTTCAATTCAAATATGATGTGACATGTTCATTTTCTGAAATTTATCTGAATTTTATCTGAATTCCATGTTTTCAGACAAAATACTTGAATTTCAGAAAATTATCTGAAAAGTCGTTGGAATTCAGACAAATTTCAGACAAAATTCAGAAACCAAAGCCTGCCACGATCCCCAAAAAAGGCAAAGCCCCACCTCCCACCAGCAGCCGGTCACAGCCAGCGAGTGCCTCTGCAAGCCATCTTTGCACCTTTGGATTGGCATTTCTCAGCCATTGACATGGCATTTGTCAGCCATTGACATGGCATTTTTCAGCCATTGACATGGCATATTTCAGCCATTGACATTGCATGTTTCGGCCATTGGCTTGGCATCTTTCAGCCACTTGATCCCACCTTCCCACCAGCTCCAATAACCCACCATCCTGAATGGCATCTTTCAGCCAGCAGACATTTGTTGTTTTACAACTGTGGCATTTGCAGCCACGAGTCCAAGCCACGCTGGCAAAACCCAAGCACAATGCAGGCAAGCAGCTCCTTTTTTTCAAAAACCCACAGCTGCCACTCTGGCTACAAAAGCTGTCACTGCCCAAGGCCCCTCATCAGGAGCAGGTCCACCCTCCACTGCAAGTGCCAGATGGCATCTTGCATCCTCTGGATCTGGTAGCTGAGGTCTCCACCCTCCAAGGAACTGCTGGAGCACTGATTGCGGTGGCTGACCATGCCCTGCCACAGTAAATGCAGGTTGACCCTTCTGCCAAATTGGTCACCCACACCCAGCTCCTCCTGCTTGGCCCGCATGCAACTGAGTCGCATGTCAGGTACATGGTCTCCTGCAACTGGTTTGCCATAGCTGCAGCAGACAGACTCAGACAGGGGTTGTGCAGCTTAGAGCAAAAGGGCTCAGGCCACACACACACACGCACTGCATCACATGGCTGGACATGCGAAAATTATTCCAGTCCTTTGTCATCATGTGAATCTGGCTCACTTTTCCACACCGACCCTTGTGTACTGCACAGTGCCTTATATGAAGTGGGCCCATTTGCTACACAGTCTTAAATGCCTTTCATGGCCTCAACCTGTGGCCTACCCATGCACCACCATGGGCCCACATGCATGGCACTACGATCAGCGCCTTCCTGCAGCGCTTGCTTCTTCTTCTGAGAAGCCCCTACTCTCAGCCAAGCACTTCACCAGCTCTGCCATCTCCATGTGCTTGGCTTCCAACTCATTCCTGAGCAGCTGCTCCTTCTCATACTGCTGGGCCTGCATTTCACTCATCTGCTTCAGGAAGAAGTTCTGCCTGCTAGCCACCAAATCCATGGCTTGATTTGTCTCCCTTTTGCAGCCTCAGCTCCAATTTGAGCTCTGCGTGCTGCTCCATTTCAGCGTCCTTATGCTCAGCCTGCATGGCCTCCTCTTCATTCTCTCCTCCAAGCGCAGGCTGCTCAGCCCAGCCCTTCTGAAGATTCCATGCTTTCCATTCTTCAGGAGTCGACTTCTTCTTGGAGCTGCCAGCGCCATCTTCTTGCCGTCCATGGCCTTGCCATCCAGAGCCTTGCCCTCCATGGCCACCGCCTTGCCCAGAAGATTGCCCTCCAGCCCCTCCATGCCCTCCATGGCTTTCTGGTTGATCACCACAGGCAGGGAGCCCTGCTCATCCATCCACTCTGGAAAACTCATGTAGCCTCACCAAGCTGCTGATCATGCAGAAAAATGCACAGACATGCCAAGAGTGCTCCAATCCACAATTGCTTTAACAAAAATGACAAGCTAGCTGTTGTGCTCTATGGCTGCCTTAAATCGTTTCTTTGCACATTGGAAAAAATGGCCACACAGGTTCAAGCAACCATCTGTTCAAGCCAAGGGCGGCTGGCATATCCTCACTGTAGGCCCCTCTGAGGACAGTCCTCAGCTTCCTGGCACCTTTGCCATGGTTCATGCCATAGGGCTGGGGGTAGTAGCCCTTGTACTTCCCCTTGCCCTTGCCCCAGGAAGGCTGGTGCCAATCCTCATCCCATCCAAAGCCCTTGCCCCACGACATGGCTGACTCCTGGATGGCGTGCAGTTCGAGTACTTGAGCATACATGCTGCCCTCATGCCTTGCTGGCCTTGCAGCGCACAAAGCAAGATTGGAAAAGGTCCAGGGGCTTCACCTTGTTTAGAGGCATGTTTCAGCCTTTTCCCAGCCACACACTTGTGTAACCTACCTAGCAGCATTGAAAAAACCACTTTGCCATGGCCATTTCCATCAATCATCGTCTAGCCTACTTAATCAGGCATGTTACAGCCTGCACATCAAGGCATCTCCCAGCCTATTTTTCAAGCAATGCTCATCCTGTCCTTGTAGGCAACTTTTCCCAGCTCATGTTTAGGTGCACTGCACCTGTTCTTTAGGCATGTTTCAGCCTGCAACAAAAACAGTTGCCACCATTGTGGAGTATATATTAAATCCAAGGACGCAGCCAAAGCAAGCTTGACACATTTTCCACCATGTGCAGGCTCTGGCTCCAAACTGCAGAAATGCTAGCCCCCCCCCCTTGCACCCAGCATGAAAGGTGCATTGCGCCCCAAAATGCTGCCCTGCAGGCACTATGTTGCTATGCAAGCAAAGCATCTCTCAGGGACACTGCCGTCCCCTGGTCAAGCTTGCCCATCTCCTCCATGGTGGATTTGATCTTGTTCATGATCTTGAAGTGGGACTTGCTCTGCTTCTCATTGATGCAAACCAAGTGTTTCTTTTTGCCACCCTCCAAAACTTGTAGGTATGTCCTGCCTTTGGCTTTGGTCAGGTAGATCTTGGAGCAGCCTTCTCCCTCAGCAGCAGGTTCCGTGGAAGAATGGCCTGAACTGCCTTCTGAGCATGCTTCCTCAATGGCAAGAGCCTTGGCCTTAGCCTTTGCCATCTTCTTCTTGTTTGCTGCCTTCTTGGCAGGCACAGGGCTGCAAGCCAGTGCTTCAAAGTCAAGGCCCACATCAGACTCAGCCATGCTCTCTGTGCCAAGAGTGCTGGTGCTTGTCCCTTTGTAGGGTAAGTCTTGCACCAGCCTTGCAAGCTGCTCTAACTGCTCCTTTTCTTTCTCTGTCAGGCTGCTCTGGGCTTGCCTCATCCTCACCTTGCTGTTCTTGACCCTTCTGAGGTGGGCCATCACAACCAGGATCCTGCTTGCCACCCACCCTGCCCATCTGTCCAAGGACATGCCCCTGTCTGACAAAACTGGGAATTGGTTGCTGCATTCTTTCACAGCCTCTTTGAGATCTGTGTAATTGAACAGGCCACTCTTGCTGACAGTCAGCAAAGACATGATCAATGCCTCCAATGCCAGCAAGCCAGCACCTTTGACAGCATTGTTCAACAGCACCCCCTTGTAGCAGCCAAAGCTGAAAGCTTTGGAGGTGCCTTCTTTCTTGGTGTGCTCTATGAGGTTGTTGACCAGCAAGGCTTTGCTGCAAGTTGGTGTGGGCAACCTCTTCACCGTATGCTTTTTCACATGGTGCTTCTGGCTGACACCCAACTTCCCCATGGCGGGATTGCAGGCAACTACCTATAGGCAGGCTTGATCCTGAAACAAATGATTCCCCCATGCAATCCAACACATGCCAAAAGCATATGATGTTCTTTCTGAGCACATGGGCTGGAATGCTTTGCTGGGATGCATATCACAGCCTCTCAAACTCATTTCACTACGATCCTGAGCATGGCATATTTCAGCCATTTTGGCCCTGTGCATACTCATCAATTTCAATATTGCCAAAAGTCATTTTTCAAGCGCGGGCTTTGAATATTCTATGAAGTCCGAGATTGAAATCATCACAATTCAGTATCACAATCATGGAAAATTAGCCTTAAACCAAGATTTCAAGCGCACCATGAAAAATGCAGAAAACCAAGCGCAAGAATGGTTTTTTTCAATCTTAGAGGGTTTGGGATCCCAAAGCCATCCAACAGATCACTCCTCGAGTTTGACAGCCGCCACGTAACGTGGGCCGACCTCCCGTTTGCTACCTTTGGAGTTTTCCACATTCATCCATCAATCAGCCATGGAGCAGCACGGGAAGATCTTCAGAACGAAATCATGCCACTCGTGACATTGTACCAATGCGATGCGATCACCGGAGACGCCAACAAATCCGCGAAACCTACAGCAGACTCCAGCACGCCTTCAATCCGGCCAAAGGTCTCATGATTATCCTCATGAAGGAATATCAGAGATTGTGGAATGAAACGGAGAATCTGCCACTTGTGGGCAGAATGGAGTATGCAATGGAGACTTCATGCACCCTAAAATCCATTGTCCGTCATCACCTATACATGAAGACTGGATCAGGGTATGACCGAACATTCCCAGATGTGATGATGACTTTCGTGTTTGAATGGGGCAAAACGAATATCCAGCAGGTTTTCCGGAAGGAAGAGATGAACGCCATGAGGGATGAACAACTGGAAGCCATGCGGAACGATCCAACGTCTGCCATTTTCGGCTATCAGGTCTCATTCGCGGAACGCTTCAAGCACGTGAACAACGATATGTTCGTGAATGGCTCACAAGATTCCGACTCGCACAGTCCGCTGATGGTCTACATCCGCAGCAGATCTGCCGCCAGGCAACGCAACTTTGAGAGATCCAAGGAGCACCTCAAGAAGAAACAATCCTGGACTCAGCAAGACTACAAAGAGTACAACAAGCAGTACTGGGGCAATCCAAAGCAATGGAAAGACTATGGCGACATGATTATGGAGACTATGGCAGTCAATCCGACAGCAGCCGCCGGTGGTACCGCTGATCGCTTGATGAAGCATTCGCGTGTCATGATAGTTTCATGGAAACCAAGCCACCTTCTTAAAATTCTTAATTATGGAGGACATTGTTTAACCGAGACCTCGCAGGCACTTATTCGACCGATTGAGAAGACTCCCCACGATCGACACTACGAACTACAACCAGATTGATCCTCACCGCCAACAAGACTATTCAGTGAGGGATCAATAGTTTCACATCCGTCCCGCATGTACATAGCGTTGTGCATCACCTTTTCGATACATCTAGGTATCTTACAGAATCAGTACAGACTGTTTTCCATTTTGCTCACATGACAAATCATCCGCGCCAAAATTGGATGAATCATTGTAACAATACATGGCTACGGCACTTTCCAATATGGCTACGGCACGTAAGGCCAAGAAGCCAATCATACACTTTGGTGTGAAAGGTCAAAAGAAATTTGTGTCTGTTTTTTGTTTTTTGTTGCACATTGACCTATTCACACACTCCGCTGACATGATGGCTCAAGGCCCTTCAAGTCATTTGTACCGTCATTCGACTCATGGTACAGTGATAAAAAGGCTTGCAGACCGCTTTACAGGATTCACAGTCCACACAAGCCACCAGGGACAATCCACTCCAATCCTCCATATTGGCATATTGGACTCTCTCCGGAATAGATCCAGGGACCAAATCAACGACCTCTACTACCACAGGGTACCAGTTCCCTTCTGGGATAGGCACACTGACAGTCCCCCCCCCCAACCCCCATGTTGAGCCATACCCAAATGGCTGTGGCTCAAAAAACCGGACCAACGTGCAACCCTGGTAAGTGGACACATGGACCAAGACCTGCGCGTTTTTCAAGCCACACCCAAATTGTGGGAAAGGACCCCCAAAAAAGGACCCACCCTGCCCCATTTTAGCACGGGCATCCCCGTGGCTGAATTGGAATCTAAGCGTTTGGCCTAGTTGAGGTTCGTTCAAAAATTGCTGGTGGTCTGCTGTGGATGGTTACGAATCTACGGGCCGCACCACCTTTCAGAAACCCAATGATGACTCCCCAACGCAAATACCAACCAACGAAAATGAAGACTGGAATGATAGACGTGGAAGCACGCTTCGTTCCTTCCCAGGCATTCCACTTCATGGTTTCATTTCGTTTCGCTGGATTTCGCGTCGTCCACAGCTTTGGTTTGGTCGAGATCTTGCATTTGGAGCGGCATGGCTCAAGAATGTTTGTTTTTCCCTGTGCCCGATTTTGAGGGAAACGAGTCATTTTGAGCACGGGAGTTTGGCCCGGTTTGAGGCAGGCCCTTGGCGTTTTGACTCGGGTCCCGATCCCTGGGGCGTTTTCTGAGAAAGGAAGGCTCAAACCAGGATGGTCCATCCTTTTTGGGGGTTCTAAACGGCCCAACTTGGGAAATCCGCATCACTCGCCGTGTTCGAGCCCAAAGCAAGTATATAAAATCCTTATTTGAGTCCAAGACAACTTCTGAACTAGTGTACCAGGGTCTTCTCTTGCAAAAAGTTCTTCAACAGCACGGCCTCTTGGGAGCTAAACTGCAGAGGGTTGTTTTTCTTTCGCCAGGCGAAGCGCCACATTCATCCGGAGATTTTCAAGATGCTCACTGGCATCCAGGCGGTGTTTTTTCCTTTTTTTCCTGGACCCGAACGGCTTCGCAACAAGCTGTAATGAAGATGGGGCATAGGTGTTCAAGTGACCTGCTAAAATGAGAAACCTCAGAATGACAAATGTAATAAGATCATATGTATATATATATATGAATATGTGTCTCTACATATATATATATATATGTGTATATATATATATATGTAATACCTATATATATATATATATATATGCATATATGCATATATGTATATAGAGGGGTATATGTGTGAGAGGGCGCGCGAGAGAAACTGGCAACACCGGGGTGTTGGTTTTTGGTTGGCCCCATGGCTCTGGCGATCGACCTTCTGAGCAGAGGGAACCCACGAATCTCCGCCCGCGAGTCCGTTTCGGACTAACACCCCTCGTTCCTTTTGTTTTTTTCGGCAAAAGACAAACCGAAGCAACCAACCAATGGAAACAGAGCCACACCTTCACCTCACATATTTGGGGTGTGTTCAAACTTGGATGTATCAAACAAAACGGGGAAGCAACTGCGGATGGAATATCTTGCTCGCAAGGCCTCCGGCTACATGCTGAATTTGGCCTGGTTCTTCAAGATTGCCGGGCACCTCAAAAGGGCTGTGTCAAGTTGGATTTGGAGTTGGTGTGCTGGAGAAAGGGCTGGGCTTGTCAAGATGTGTCAAAAGGAGTTGGGCCCCCGAAAAAGCTCCGTTTCCATTTTGAATTCTCTTGAAAGGGAAATCTGGAAAAACTCTCGAAAACAACCCATACCCAGGTTTTGAACCCCTTGTATGGTGTGAAGGGAATACTTTGGACACGCCGGAAAAACGCCCAGGTCAAAATTGTGATGAAATCCTCCTCGATTCCATCCATCGAATGTTGAGTAAGATGAATTCATTCTTAATATCTACGCCTGTCAAAAATCACGACATTGTGAGCCATCATAACTGATCAGATGGTACATGAGGGGAATATAAACAATAAATATATACATAAAGATATATACAAGCAAAACAAATAGGTATATATTGTGGAATAAGAATTGTTGTTTTTTTTGGATTGATTCTATGAATGATTGATTCTATTATAAATCAGAATATAAAATACATAAACTTTAGAGCCTCCGGCTCAGTCCGCCGACATTGGCATCTAGCTTGTCTCCTTCTTCCTCTCGCCCGTGTCCCCCTAGTATGCTCTTCTGTCCTCTCTGGTTCCCCCATCCTCCCCGACACGCCGAGCAATGTCGGCGGAGTGTTGAGTGCCACCAAGAGGGTGCTCCCAACAAGGGCGCCGAACCATGCCTCCAAGTAAAATGTTGGGAAAGGGTGGCGACCAAACAGGGCGTACAATTGCGAACAGGAAGGCTCGCCGTTTAGGGCACCTTAGTGCTGGGTGGTATGTCATGGCCACTGCATGTCATTTTGGCGGGGTGCGCGGATAAGCTGATTTCTGAGGGGTGTTGAGGTTGCCCCTTGTACGGCATTTTTGCTTGCGAGAAGCGTGGCTTAGCATGGCCCAAGTATCCGACACGAAGGACATTGGGGGCGACACTTGGAAGGAAGCTGGGGTTGGGGAATTTGCCAGGACATTTGGGGGAAACTGGGGGGGAAATTGGGGGGAAGTCGGATGGAAATTGAAAGGAAAGTGGGAGGGAATTGGTGAGAAAGTAAGGCGCAATTTGCGGGGAAGCATTGGGGGAAATTAGGGGAAATTGGGGGGAAATTGGTGCCAATTGTCAAGGAAATCGGAAAACACAATGTTTTTTTCAATGGTGTCAGCAAAGGAAAAACACCGAACACCGTGTGTCTCAAAGTTTTCCGCAGAAGGCAGCACAAAACCTCAGCCGGCAGAAAGAGGCGGCGGGTGGGACCCCCGTTTCTCCAGACCCGCTCCCCGAAGACTACGTTTAGTGGAACATCAAATTGCCGCGCCGTACGCGGGGGGGGGGGGGTGGCGACCGAAAAGCCATGCGTATTTGACGTGTCCCGGGGGGGGACTAAGGACTAAGGGGGGGTTATCCTCTATCCTCTCTTAGGTATCCAATAGTCCTCTCTTAGGTATCCGACACGCCGAACAATGTCGGCGGACTAATAATAATTGTATTTATGCAATATGTAGTATTGTC